CTCCCAGAGAGCTAGGATTACAGGCGTGATCCACCACGCCCGGCCTCCATAACTGTTCTTTCCAGCAGCAATAGCCAAAGCAGTAGGAAGACGATCTCTGCCCAACTTCTGCTTTCCCAAATTCCCAAGAGTGCCTCTAATTGGTGGAACCTAATTTGGATATAGAATCTTAGCTTTAAGGGAGTCTTAAAAAATGCTCTTTTTATGTTTTTAGGCGCTGGAGTAGACGGAGTACTCTAAAAGGAGCTCGGAATAGACGTTGAGTACTAATATATCACGCGCACCCCACAGGGAATGTTGCTTATTAACAATCTAACCACGAGAACCAAGTGCAATCAAGCCTCATGGGGACTGACACGGAGCAGATGATTGTTGAGGCCACTCTTGTTTTCTCTTGCGGGCCCCCTTTGTCTCTGATCTCTGTTATCTCTGTGCATCTTCTCTGCTCTCCTCTTTTTTTCTGTAGACCAACTTTTTTTGCTTACTTGTGGTTTTTTATCTGCTCCTCTATACTAAAGCTTACTAAAGGATTCAGTAATCCTGGCATTATCTATGGCATCCTCTGCACTCCCACTCTAGGCTGACTTTCTAATAAAGCACCTGATACCTATGACTGGCTCTGTTTTTCACTGACTTAATTCCAAATTCCAGAGAAATAGAGAATCTGATTGGTCTAACCTGAAACAGATGTACACCCCTGGTCCATTCAGCTGGAAGTTTTGGACCTTATGTTATTTAAACCTTAGCCATTCTAGGGGCTATGATCAAGACAAGTTCTTTAGAAGGATATATAGAAAGGGAGGCAATAATGGACATATCTACTTTATCAAGTTCTCATCTCCACCAGTTGCCTCAACCCTTTCAATTCCATTCTTAGGACCTTATAGTCACTTCTCATTACTAATACATTAGCAACTCCCATATGGTTAGACATGCAAGGGCATTTTTTAATGCTTTATTGTGGTATAGTTTACATACCAGAAAATTCACCCAACTTAAGAGTACAGCGATTTTTAGTAAATGTATACAGTTGTGTAACTATCACTGTGATGCAGATTTAGAACATTTCCAACACCCCAAAAAGTTTCCTTGTGCCTATTTGTAGTCACTCACCATTCCCATCCCCAAACAATAATTGATCTGCTTTCTGTTTTTATGGATTTTCATTTAAAAAATCTCATATAAATGGAATCATTCAATATGTAGCACACTAGAGTTTTGATAAATGTCTGTTAACGGACTGATATTAAAATATTTACCAGAGCCCTATAATCCTCTTTATTTTCCTCATTCTATTTCCAAACACTGCTATTCCATTATTTATTTATTTCCAACAGCATTGCTATTCCATTTATTTATTTATTTCCAACAGCATTGCTATTCCATTTATTTATTTATTTATTTATTCCAACAGCATTCCCAGAAGCAGAGCACTGCTATTCCTTTTAGGTGACTTACTCTGAGTTTTATTTCTGTCCCTGGATCACTAAGATGCCATTATCTGATGGGGTTGTTTCAACTAGCTGGCTGGAGCTTCAGGTCATAGGTAATAACTCTCTCCCACACTCTCCATCCTTTTAAGGCACAGAGAGTATTATTCCAGTTAGTCATCATAGTAGGACAAGGTGCTTAAAAAATAGAGCAATTATTTAATAAAAATCCTAGAAATGAAATTTAGACTCTTCAAAACTTAAACAAGGCTGGGCGCGGTGGCTCACATCTGTAATTCTAGCACTCTGGGAGGCTGAGGCGGGAGGATTGCTTGAGGTCAGGAGTTCGAAACCAGCCTGAGCAAGAGCGAGACCCCGTCTCTACTATAAATAGAAACAAATTAATTGGCCAACTAATATATATAGAAAAAATTAGCTGGGCATGGTGGCACATGCCTGTAGTCCCAGCTACTTGGGAGGTTGAGGCAGGGGGATTGCTTGAGCCCAGGAGTTTGAGGTTGCTGTGAGCTAGGCTGATGTCATAGCACTCACTCTAGCCTGGGCAACAAAGTGAGACTGTGTCTCACAAAAAAAAAAACAAAAAAACAAAAAACAAAAAAAACCCAAAAATACTTAAACAAAAAACTAGCCAAAAAAGCCCTAAAATCCAAATACATGATATACATTTAGATTAGATAAAGTCAAAGAGAGAAATTATAATTGGAGGAGACTACTTGGGGATTAATCCAGAATGTATCACAGTTCTAAGCAGAATATAAGAATTAATTCTCACCTATACATATTATACTAGACCTCAAGAATGAAGAAAAACTCTTAAAAGTCTATATGAGAGAAAACAGATTAAACTATAAAGGAATAATAATTAGAGTGATAGCATACTCCTCTTCAGTAAAAGTAGAGCCTGAAGTTAATATAGTAATATAATCAGAGTGTGAGGGAAAATCCATGTTTACTAATCCAGCTAAACATCATTCAAGAATGAGGAAAAAATAAAATTGTTTTCAGACATGAACAAAAACGAATTAAAAGGATTCAGGAGGGATGATCAGTGAGTGTTAAAGTGTGTTGAGGCCCTCACATTACTTTGGAGGAAGATGGAGACACAAACAATTTATGAAAGTGTATAGATAAATATATATATTTCAATTTTAAGGATAATCACTAAAAGAATAGAAAGACAATTTATATCTTGTAAAGCATCAGAGGGGGGAAAAGAGAAGTGAAGAAAATGTTATCAATTCAACAGAATACAGGAAAGGCCAATAAAGTAGAAAAATGGTAAAAGGAAAACATTTAAGACAATTGAAATGAGTTGAACATAGCTGTAATGATCATTAAACAAGGAACAAATATTTACCGAGTACCTACTAAGTACAGCAATATTCCAATCTAAAGAAATACAGTAGTGAACAAAGCAAACTCCCTGCACTTATGAAGCTTACATTTTAGTGGAGAGACAAGTTCTAGGGCAGGAATACACAATGTATCAAAACAGATTAAACTCACCTATAAAAAACCAAAAATTATATTTGGATAAAAATAGAATCTAACAATGTGCTACTACAAAAGACACAATGTTAAAAGACACATTCACCAAAATCATGAGGCTAACAACAGATTCCACTTTTAAAGCAAAAAGAGAGAAATTGACAAATACATAGATGTGGAGATTTTATCACCTTTTTATATTAAGTTGATAGATCAGATACAAATTAAACAGAATAGAGACCAGAATGATGTAGTTAACATACTTAATTTAATAGAAATAGAATATTGCAGTGTGAAGGCATTTTGTAGTTGAAATGATGGCAACTGGGACACCAGGTTCTCAAGCATGGTTAGGTCAGTCCCTGAAGGGGATTCTCACAGAGAAGGTGAACACCTGTGCTAGGGATGTGATTGCACTCACCAAGCAGGTGCTGAAGGGCTCCCAGAGCTCTGAGCTGTTAGGTCAAACAGCTCAAAACATGGTACTACGGGAAGATGCCATCTTGCACTCAGAAGATAGTTTAAGGAAAATGGCAACAGTAACAAAATATCTTTAATACCAGCAAGAAGCTATTCAGGACAATGTTGAACAGTCATCAGATCTACAAGACGAGTTGAATCATCTGGTGACATAAAATGGCATAAGAGTACAATAGCACTTCTTTGCCTAACGCTGAGGAGGAAATATCTTACACAACTATCATGCTCTGGGTTTAGTTTTCTATTTTCTTCTCTCAAAAGTTGTTATCAAAGATTTGTGTTGATGTATAGTTTCTCCTGAAAAGAAGCTAGGCAGGGGTTGAATTTAGGAAACATGTCTTGAATCGGATCAACCCATGCTCTTACTGAAGTTTTTAAGTTGCTTTAATTGCTTAAATTAAAATATGTTAATTTTTCCTATAGGATTTTTAAATTTATTTTTAATTTTTTTTTAAAGACGCAGGTCTCACTCTTGCTCAAGCTGGTCTCAAACTCCTGAGCTCAGGTGATCCCCTGCTTTGGCTTCCCAGAGTCTAGAATTACAGGTGCGAGCCACCACCCCTGGCCTAGAATTTTTTAGATGGGATCTTGCTATGTTGCCTATGCTGATCTGGAACTCCTGTCCTCAAGCAATCCTCCTGCTTCAGCCTCCCTAGTAGCTGGGATAATGAGTGCCAGCCACCACACTCAACTCTAGAATTTTTATTTTATTTTAATTTTATTTTTTTGAGACAGAGTCTCACTTTGTTGCCCAGGCTAGAGTGAGTGCCGTGGCATCAGCCTAGCTCACAACAACCTCAGTCTTCTGGGTTCAAGCAATCCTGCTGCCTCAGCCCCTCCGAGTAGCTGGGACTACAGGCATGCGCCACCATGCCTGGCTAATTTTTTCTATATATATTAATTGGCCAATTAATTTGTTTCTATTTATAGTAGAGACGGGGTCTTGCTCTTGCTCAGGCTGGTGTTGAACTCCTGATTTCAAGCTATCCGCCCGCCTCGGCCTCCCAGAGTGCTAGGATTACAGGCGTGAGCCACCGTGCCTGGCCTATAGAATTTTTAATATGTCAAAAGCCATATTGTTTAAATCCCAATACTTAAGCAAATACTAAGTATTAAAAATAGAGTTATTGTGAACACACAAAAATTATTAATATTCTTTTTAAAGACTTTAAAAAATTTTAATAATTCATTTAGGAAATACTTTAATTTCATGGTCACAGAATGGTGATAGGTAATACCTGGTTGTTTTCTTTTCAGAAGTTTGGTAATTCTGTGATCATAAATATGCTGCAGGAACTTAACTCTTATTAATTATATCAATTAGTCTATGGGAAAATTGGTTTCATTATACATTGTTTTGCCTAAAGTTGCAGTTTCCAAGAACCTATCAATGACATTAAGTGAGGACTTACTATATACACATATCCTATGATCCATTTACTCCACTTCTAGCCTATCTCTGATTTGAGCTGCAGCTGTGGTGGACAGTTCTAACTCTCCTTATGCTGCTAGCATTTACTAGCATAGATTGGAAATCATATTAGTCTCCTATGGCTGCTGTAACAAATCATCACACGTGCAGTAGCTTAAAACAATACACATTTATTATTTTACAGTTCTGTAGTTCAGAAGTCCTAAATGAATGTCAGTTGGCTTAGATTAAGGCATCATCAGAGCTCTGTTCCTTTATGGAGGCTCCAAGGGAGAATTCATTTTCTTGCCTTTTCCATCTTCTTGAGTCTGCTTTCAAAATCCTTAGAGGGGAGAGTAAAATTCATGGGATGAGTCTCTATCTCAAAATCCTTAATTTAATCACACATGCAAAGTCTTTTTTGTCATGGAAGGTAACATATTCATAGCTCCTAGGAATTAGAATGTGAGCATTTTGAGTGACCCATTATTCTACCTACCACAGAGACCATACAAAATCAGTCTAGATTAGAATCAATTTATTAGGTTATGACCTAGAGTTAAGTAACTTAATAAGATGGAGAGGGGGACTAACAGTAATATCTATGTTAACAGGGTGTTGGAGGTTTAAAGGAGTATTTGTAAAGTGTTCAGAACAGTACCTGGCACATTAAGCACAATATGAGCATTTATTCAATACATTTTAACAACATATTGATTCCTACTATAGGTTAAACGCTGTTCTAGGTGCTAGGATATGGACAGGAATATGACTTGGTCTCAAAGAACTCGAGGAGTCAGAGATACAAATGCAGTTAATACACAGTATATATACTACATGCCACAAAAGGGATGAAAATACTATAGGATTACAGCATTGTTAAGGCTCAGGGAAACTTTAGAAATATTAGTCAAATGAATAAATGAGCATGACATTTGAGCTTGGCTTTGTAGAATGAATAAGTGTTGGCAAGTCAGATAAGGAGAGAAGGGCTTAGAGACATTTAGAATGTGTGTTAAAAGAACGTTAAGTATTAATAGTATTTCAGTGTGGCTGGAGCAAAACATATATGGTGTGCCATGAAGCTAGAAAAGCTAGTGTAAACATTCAGGTCGTGAAGTGCCAAGTTAAGGAGTTTGGACTTTATCCTGAAAGCAATAAAATCTTTTCAGATTATATAAACAGGGAAGGACATCATCAGATTTGCGCTTTTAAAGGCTACTCTGGTGACCGGTGAGAAAAATAGATCGGATTTAAAGAGACTAATAATGGTTGCTCAAGTTGTTCAGGTGGTGGTAGTGGATGAAGAGACTGGCAAGGACTTGAGAAATATTTAAGAGAATCTACAAGACTTGGTGACCAATTTGATATGGATGTTGAGAGGAAGAATGGGATCTATGTCTAGTTTCAGGGCTTAGGGGACTGGTGAATGATTGTCTATTCACTGAGACCAGGAAGAAACATAAAAGTAGTAGTTTTGGAGGGAAATGATAATAGTAATAGCCAACATTCTAAAGGTGTTAATACATGTTAAATTGTAGTTGTTATTATTATGGTAAAACTGAGGCTTACAGAGACCAAGTTAAGAAGACACACGTACTACTTATTATTACTTGACAAATTATGGCTTAGAAAAGTTAAGGTCCTATTACTAACATTTGTACAGCTAGGATTTGAAGCAAGGAACTCGGATTCCAGACCCTTAGCCACTAATGCCGTTTCAGTTTTGGACATGCTGAATTTGAGGTACTCCAGGGCATCCAAGTAGTGCTGTTAGGGAGATACTGGGAGATACACAATCTGAACTCAGGGGAAAGGTCTGGGTGGAAAGTAGCCTCCATGGTAGGAGAAAAAAGTGAAAGGGAGCCCATTTTCTCCTGCCAGCTCACAATAGTTCAAATTTCTCCGTTATCATTTCTTTGTCCACCTCCCACCCTCGTTCCCACACACAAAAATCAAACAATAATAGATGTCTGGCTCTAGAATAACACGAGATCAGACAGTTTTCAAATTCATCCCTTGTCCATGAGCTAATAGATGCAGTGGTGCTTTGTAACCCGAGAAGGACCCCAGGCTGATAGCGTTAGCCTTCTTTTAAAATCTTGAGTACACCACGAGCCCTCCTAGAAATCATTCCACAACCCTCCAGGAGGAATGCCCTGTCAAAGCAGCCTGCAACCGGAGACTGCAGGCCTAGAAGAGACGCGGACGCAATGACGTCGCGTGGCAGCCCGGTGTTCCCCAGCCTTTGGCGTCACGCGCCGATGACGTCATCCCAGGCGCTCGCTCTCTCCGAGGTCTGGGTTGGACTCGTTCACTCGGGTCTGTCCAGCTCTCCCCGCCCCCTCCCACCTGCGGGAGGCGGGGCGGGCAGGGCTCCGCCGGCGCCGCAGCCTCGCGGGGGAGGGGCGAGGGCAGGGGCAGCGGCAGGGGGAGGCGGAGGAGGGGGCCGGCCGCCGTGTACAATAGCTCGGCTGCGGGCGGGGAGGCGGCCCTGCCGCTGCTGCAGCTGGAGCTGAAGGTGCCGGCTGCACAGTAGACGCCCCCTCACGGCTTCCCCCACACACTCCCTCCCCCTCGCTTGCCCATCGCACCTCCTCCCTCCCAGGCTCGGCCGTCCTACACCTCGGACGCTTACCTCTTAGGCTCTTATCCCCTTTTTGCGGAGCCCCGCGCTCTCACGATCCCCCTCGAAGTCGGTCTCCGCATCGACTTCCCACCTCCTCCCTCAGAGGCCATCCGAGCGGCTCCCATCCCCGCCCCCCTCAGCCCAGCGATCTTTCTCCCGCGTCTCCTTGTTCCCTCCCGGCCCCGCTGACCGTCCCTTCCCTCACGGATGCCCCTGTCCTGAGGGGATCCCCGGCGCGAGCGGCGTGGGGGAGGCGCGGCCGGCGGCCGCAGGAGGGAGTACGTGAAGCGGCCGCTCGCGCGCACTCGGGCGCTCACTCCCGGCTGGGCCGCCGCCACCGGGTGGAGGAGGAGGAGGAGGAGGAGCTGAGCGGAGCAGAGCGAGCGCGGAAGGTGAGAGCCGGCCTCCCGCCCGGTACCCCTGGCGTCGCGGGCTGCCACGGGTGGGGCGCGGGGCTGAGCGGCAGGGGCAGAGGTGCGGGCTGGGGTGGGGGCTCCGGCCCATTCATCCCCGCGGCGGGGCCGGGCGCCCGGGCGGGCGGGGGCGCCAGGTAAGGTGAGGCGGGCGCCGCCCCGCGAGGCTGGCCGCTCCAGTCTGGCCAACAAAGGCCCCCAGTTCGCGCACCGGCGCGATCGCGGTTCTCAGGCGCCAGGGGACTATGGGGACCTGGGAGAGGGCAGGGACGAGAGAGGGGCCTCGCTGAGGCTGGGGGCCCTGACAGGTCCTAGTCCGGGACCGACTCCCTCGCGAACTTTGCAGTCCTCCGGCGCCAACCCTGGCCTGCTACGAGGAAGCCCGGCAAAGCGGCTCCCAAGTTCATTCTGCGTGGAAAGATGACCCCGTCCAGGGTCATTTTGGGGAATCACCTTTACGGTTCAACTCCTTGAAAAACAAAGATTGGTCGTACTTGACTTGTGCAGCCCCTCCCCCATCCCAGGAATATTCCATGACTTGGGAAGTTAAAAACAAATGGGGAAAGAATTATAGTTACTTTGTGTTCATTATTCTATTTCAAAAGATGCGATTATTATATTCTTCGATATTTTGAATATTTTAACAGTAAACATTATTGGGAATGTTTTGGAAGACTGCTTGAGAAGTATTAGGTGTTCGTTGGTGGGAGCAAAGTCCTTGTTTGTTAAACCCCTTGGATAACTGTTTTACACTTTAAGTTTTGTGAACAGCGAAGAGGAGGGTTAGTACTGTGGTTACCAATAAAAATTCAAATTGATTAGTCTTACCTTTATTTTAAGAATTGTTCTTGAGGAAAATCTTTGATTTTGCCTCCTATGTTTTTGGGTTCTCTCTCAACTCTATCCAGAGAAAACAGGAGTCATCAGTACAGAGATGCCTCATCTCTCTTACCTTGTGGCTTCACCTACTTCCTGTGTCACCCTGAGCAAGTTACTTCCAGTCTTAAAAGTTCCAGAAGTTTGCCTTCATGCCGCGTAAACTGGCAGGTAGCAAGCACCTACTTAGTTTTCAAGAATCTGGTGAAAAATCCCCTTTTGCTGACATCCATCCCATTCCTCCTTTCAGACTGAACTGACTTCTTCCCAAGGCCCAGGTGGAATTTCTACTACAACACTTGTAAACCTTTTCCTATTTGGAAAATTCTAAATCAAGTGCATATGAAACCCATCCCCATTCAACAAGAAACTGACCCTTAAAAAGAGTTTTGTGGGGCCTGGCGTGGTGACTCATGCCTGTAATCCTAGCACTCACGCTGAGGCAGGAGGATCGCTTGAGGTCAGAAGTTTGAGACCAGCCTGAGCAAGAGTGAGACCCTGTCTCTACTAAAAATAGAAAGAAAATAGCTGGGCAACTAAAATAGAAAAAAAAAATTAGCCAGGCTTGGTGGCGCATGCCTGTAGTCCCAGCTACTTGGGATGCTGAGGCAGGAGGATTGCTTGAGCCCAGGAGTTTGAGGTTGCTGTGAGCTAGGCTGACTCCTCGGCACTCACTCTAGTCTGGGCAACAAAGTAAAACTCTGTCTCAATACATAATAAATAAATAAATTTAAAAAAATGATTTTGGGAACATGGACCCCGAAACATTCCCCGAAGCTTATCCATACCATTATCTATATGAGCTCATGGGTCTGCCTGGTGAATTTGTTTAGTCAGTCATTTATTTATCCAACATCACTGGAATCTGGAGAGCTTCTGTGTTTCAGATCTCCTGTTGGGGCTATGGGAATTCAGAATTTATTAAGATACTCCTTTGGCAGGGCACAGTGGCTTACGCCTGTAATCCTAGCACTCTAGGAGGCTGAGGCAGGAGGATCACTTGAGGTCAGGAGTTCAAGAGCAGCCTTAGCAAGAGCGAGACCTTGTCACTACTAAAAATAGAAAAAATTAGATGGGTATGGTGGTGAATGCTTGTAGTCCCAGGCAGAAGGATCACTTGAGCCCAGGAGTTTGAGGTTGCTGTGAGCTAGGAGACTCTGTCTCCAAAAAAAAAAAAAAAAAAGATATTCCCTGTCTTCTGAGAGCTCAAAGTCTAATGGGTGAGGTAGACAAGTAAACAAAGAAGGCCTGACCTAATGTCTGGGGGACTCCAGTTGTACAGGGAGTAGTATACAATACTCGAGGCTACTGGACCTGTTTTACAAGTCTTGTGGCCAAAGTGAATCCTGCAGGGAAGGTGACCTACCTCTCATCTGTAAGAGGGTACTTAAAAAAGCTCGCTCAGTTCAATTAAGTATACGTTTACTAAGCACATGTTTTAAGGCCTTATGCTGAGCTTGAAGAAAGCAGTGCCTCAAAGGAAGGCAGTGTGCATCCAGAGGGATTTTGTAAAACAAAATCTGATCACATCAGTGTCCCCTACCCCTGACTCTTCATTGTCTAAAGATAAATTTCAGACTCCTGAATAAGAAACTCAGAGATAGACCACTGCCTGCCTTTGCAGGCTCATTTTCTATACTTCTGCCACTCTGTCTCTGCATTTGCATATGCTGTTTTCTTCCTGGGATTCCTGCCTCTTACCCCTTACCTGTGGAGATGGCCTTGTTGGACCTCTGGGCATCAGTCCCTTAATCTCTCCTCCTTACCCCCCATAAAATTAGTTACTCTTGCATCCTCTGGCTCATATACATATCATTTTTTATAGCCCTTTATAGCACTCTATTGTAATTATTTGAGGTTGTACCTATCTTTTTCCATTTGCCCATCAATTTCTTGAATCTGTTTGGTTTTAGTGCCTAGCAAAGTTCCTGGCACTGAATAAGTCTTTGAATGAATGGATGTATGAATGAAGAAGCAAGTCAAGGCCTGTGAAATAAGGTTTACCTAATCCTTTGGGTTAGAACAATTAGTTCTCAGAGTGTGGTCCCTGGACCAACAATAGCATCAGCATAATCTGCAAACTTGATAACAAATTAGTGGATCCCAACTGAGATCTACAAATGAAAAACTCTGGGCTTTTGGCCCCAAAACCTCTGCTTTAATAAGCCCTCCAAGTTATTTTGATGCTTGCTAAGTTTTGAGAAACAGTAGACTAAAAGATCTGCTCTTGATAAAACCAGAACCCTGCTAGCTTCTTCTTGCCCTTGTTTTTCTTCCATAGTGCTTAAAGCCTGACATGCCATTGTCTGTCTCTTGCCACTAGCGTGAAAGATTCCTAAGAGCAGGAAGTTTTGTCTGTTTTGTCCATTGCTTTAATCTCAGTGCCTAGGATAGTGACTGCATATAGCAGGCACTCAAATATTTGTTTAATGAGTGATATAAGATGATTTAGTCCCATTTACTGCTACATTGGGGTTTTATTCAAGACCAGTTCTCAGAATGAAGAGGAACCACACTCCAAATGCAGAGCTTAACATTTTTGGAGATTATTTTAGGTTGAGCTTTTTCCCATTCACAGATATCTTTCTCCAACCAAAGCCTTCAGAATTTTTTAGCAGAGATTTTTTGTTTGTTTTAGCCATGACCTGAAAACTTCTGTTGCAATACCCTAGGCAAGGATTGTTTCTTGGGAATTTGCAACTTGGTTTTGCAAGTCTAAATAAGTACCCTGAGTTTTGAGTCTTTTAACTTGAAACTGTCTCTTCTAGGTCTCCTGTGGTTTTCTCTAGTGATACCACCATACAAGGGCCTGTTTGACTCCACACAAAGGTTTTTTTTGTCCTTTTGAAGCTCTTAAAATGCCTTATTTCTTTCACTTTCTCATTAGCCCTAAGATACCATGCCTAGTTTTCTCCTTTCCTAACTTCCCTCTGGGAGGGTGGCTTCATTTATTTATCCATTTACTTATAAACAGTTATTGAGTCCTTCTCCACCATGTGCCACACCCTATGCTGGGGCCCCATGTTCATCCATACAGTGGTGCAGTCCAAGTCTTTAAGAAACTAAAGATAATACGATATGGTATAAGTGTTGAAATGAAGAGAGAAAGTAGAAGGACTAAAAACATTGCTTTGTGATCATAAAGGTGGGAGAAAGCCACCTTTCTAATTTTTTCCCTCAATTTAGTAATAGTTTGTCAAACAAACATCATTTTGATAGGCAGACTTCTAAAAAAATTTTTTAAGAGGTCATTGGCTTTATCAGGAAAAACTAAAACAAAAATCAAGGTAGAATCAGCAGTTGCCGATTTGAAACAATTCTCAATTCTGTTGTTGCTGCTTTTAATGAATTTTCCAAACCCCCTCCCTTCCTTTTTTTCTTTTTTTTGAGTCAGAGTCTCATACTCTTGCCCAGGCTAGAGGGCTGTGGCATCAGCTTAGCTCAGAGCAACCTCAAAGTCCTGGGCTCAGGCGATCCTACTGCCTCAGCCTCCTGAGTAGCTGGGACTACAGGCCTGTGCTGCCATGTCCGGTTAATTTTTGTATATATTTTTAGTTGGCTAATTAATTTCTTTCTATTTTTAGTAGAGATGGGGTCTCACTCTTGCTCAGGCTGGTTTTGAACTCCTGACCTTGAGCGATCCTCCTGCCTTGGCCTCCCTGTATGTTAGGATTAGTGGTGTGAGCCACTATGCCTGGCCGCCCCTCTCTTTTTTAATCTTTGTAAATCATAACCAGAAAGTAGGAGAGTAATATTTTTTAAGTATAGTAAAGAGAGAAGTTTAAGGTTATCAAGAGAATATACCTCAC